GCATTCCTGAAATAAGTAAGCCAAATACCATTTAGGAAAAAAACACATTCAGATAATGTAAAAGAACCTTTATAAATATAAAATAAAATAGGAGACATGAAAAATAAACATGATTACAAATAAGGAAAAAAAGGTGGAGGGCAGGAAATTATCAAAGGCATAATTTAAGAAAATTTTCTAAACTGAAGGACATGAATTTCCAAATTTAGAGGGTCTACCAACTATCCAGCACAATGTATGGAAACAAATCCACACCATGACACACCACTGTGAAATTTCAGAACTTTAGGAACAAAAATAAACTTCCAGAAGGGAAAAAAGTTATACAAAGCTAATATAAATTAGCTGTCAATTGGGTAAAAAGACATTTTAGAAATACACGATCTCAACAAATTTAACTCTTATGCACCCTTACTCAGGAAGCTACTGGAGGATGGTTCTCCAAAAATGTTGGAGCAAACCAAGAAATAGGAACACATAGTAGATTGTGTTATGTGTTCAAAAAATTCCCTGCCCTTCTCTATCAGGGTTATAATTTTACTTCCCATCCCAGTGACATCAAACTTGGCTATTGGTTTGCTTTGAACAATTAAAAGTAAGTGGAAATGATGGATATCATTGCTCTTTTCTCTCCCAAAAGATTGGTGTGGGCCAGATCAGGACTGCTCCTGGGTCCTGAGAAGAAGCCAACATGGAGCAGAGCTGCAGCCAACCTACAGAGGATACCTAATGAAAGTGAGAAATAAATCTTTTTTGTTGTTAGCCACTGAAATTTTGGAATCATTACTGAAAAAGAAAAAAAAAAGAAAGACGATAAAAGAAAGAAAAAAGTATCAAAAGCTGATTAAGACATAGGATTCTGGAAATGAGATCTAACACAAGAAAGAGACGTGTAAATTCTCAGAATAGTGGTCAAGTTTGATCCTAGAATGACAGCTGTGAAGCGAGTCTACTCGAAGAATCAAAGTCAAAATGGATGGGACTTCCCTGGTGGCGCAGTGGTTAAGAATCCGCCTGTTAATGCAGAGAACACGGGCTTCGAGCCCTAGTCCAGGAAGATCCCACATGCCATGGAGCAACTAAGCCCGTGCACCACAACTACTGAGCCTGCGCTCTAGAGCCCACAAGCCACAGCTACTGAAGCCCATACGCCTAGAGTCTGTGCTCTGCAACAAGAGAAAGCCCATGCACAACAATGAAGACCCAATGCAGCCAAAAATAAATAAATAAATTATTTATTTATTTATTTATTTTACTTTTTTAAACTTTTATTTTATATTGGAGTATAGTTGATTAACAATGTTGAGTTAGTTTCAGGTGTCCAGCAAAGTGATTCAGTATACATACACATGTATCTATTCTTTTTCAAATTCTTTTCCCATTTAGGTTATTACAGAATATTGAGCAGAGTTCCCTGTGCTATACAGTAGGTCCTTGTTGGTTATCTATTTTAAATACAGCATGTCAATCCCAAACTCCCAATCTGTTCCTCCCCCGCCAACCCCCTTTCCCCCCTGGTAACCATAAGTTCATTTTCTAATTCAGTCTGTTTCTGTTTTGTAAATAAGTTCATTTGTATCTTTTTTTTTTTTAGATTCCACATATAAGCAATATCATATATTTGTTTTTTTCTGTCTGACTTACTTCACTTAGTATGATAATCTCCAGGTCCATTCATGTTGCTGCAAATGGCAATATTTCATTCTTTTTGATGGCTGAGTAATATTTCATTGTATATATGTATTACCACATCATCTTTATCTGTTCCTCTGTCAATGGAAATTTGGTTGCTTCCATGTCTTGGCTATTGTCAACAGCACTGCACTGAACATTGGAGTGCATGTATCATTTCGAACTGAGAAAATCAGAAGGCTCTCAGATGTTTCAAAGAAGGTGAAATTTAGAGACTACCTAATGTGTCTGACTATATTGAAAATACACCTTTGGGAGAGAATTTGGTTATGAGGTAGTGATAATTATAATAAAACAAAGTAAGTGAAAAATAAAAACAAAGCATGTATAACTCCATGAAAAACAAAAAAGAAAGGTAATCATAGTATGTAGGCATTTACATAGTCATAATAACATAAATATTGATTTAACTTAACCAACATAATGATATAACTATATTGAAAGAATGGATAGGAAAGTGTATAGGTGTGTGATTGGGGTAGGCTGGGGTTGAGGTAGTTGAAAGATATCTTTCATAAAACACCTAACTTTAAAAAAATCAACAAGTAGCAATATAAGCATATTATTTAGAAATACTGAGACAAATACCAAAAGAAACAGCAGAAATAGCTGACAGCTATTGCCTCTGGGGGAGGGGACTGAGAAAATTGGGGCCTAGGAAATTGCTGTTTTCTTTAATAGGCCTTATAGAACGTTTTGACTGCAAAACATTGCAACACAGGGGCATCTTGAGGCTTAAGAACTCAAAAGATACAAGAAGAAAATTAATATAATAAACCAAAGTAGTACACATTTACACACACAAAATAAAGGATGAAGGAAGGGAGGGAGGGAAGGAAACATTTGTAAACTATAAAGCACTGGGAAAATTTACAATGACTGGAAACAAGTTAGAAGTCTGAGTAGCGTGGAAGTAGGAGAATGTAATGGGTAAGAGCATGTCTCTAGTTTCAGACAGCCCATGGTTCAAATTCTAGCTCTGCTCCATACTAGCTGTGTGACCTTGGGAATGTTGCTAGGCCTCGGTTCCCTCATTTGTAAAACAAGGATAATAGACCCTCTCTTATAGAGTTGCTGTGAGAATGAAATGAAGAAAACACTGGGAAAGTTTTAGCTAACATTAATCTCTTTTGTTCCCTCATCTTCCCTGTGGATTAATAGCCATTAAATGGATGACTAAAGAGCAATCGGTAGAAGGCGACATCTGAAGCAAAAACCTGAGGTGATATACAAACTGGAGAACCAGCCTCTGAATAATTGAAAACAGTGTATTGTAGTCGCTTCAGCAGCAGTAATTGGTAAGCCAGCTGCCATAGGGTTACAGCTGTTTCTTGCCTTTCTCTGTCCCTTTCCCTTTCCTTTTCCTCCTTCATTCCTAACCATTGTCATCATCATTATCTTGTAATGCACAATGAGCATCTCATTCATTCAGAAATGTAAATTGAATACCAAATGCTCTTTTCTGTCTCTGATTTCCATGTGCTTGGTTTCTACTTACATAATTTAGGCAACAGGTTATGTTTGTAGTTATGAAAAGGAATTCTTTTCTGCAACAAGAAGTAGTTATAATCAGTGATAGTTAGGGAGGCTTATTAACTCAACAGCAACGACAAGGATATTTGCGCACCACCCAACTCTCATAGAAGATCATTTTCCTTTGCAACTAGTGCAATTCTGATTCCAAAAGCCATTGTGCTTCCCTAATCTGGTAATCAAAAAATATGAATTTTCAAAGTAGATTTTTATGTCATGCTAAATAAGCCTAGTTCTTCCTTGCATGCTAGGAAGCAGGTATTTTAAGGACATAAGAGAAAGGGAGAGAGAGAGAGAGGGGGAAACTTCCAATCTCTTAGAGTTTATTGCCAGGAGAAGCCTAGTAATTCTGTAGGGAACATAGTTCTTTTTATTTTTTTCTCCTACCCGTCACTCAGAGATGTTGCCCAGACTGATGTAAGGCATTCTTTAAGACCACCATTCCTTAAATGAGAAAATGTCCAGAAGATCAATGGTGCTTTCTGTGACTCAAAGTTTAGAAGACAAAAGAAATTACCTAAAGGACTCCCTCACTCCTTCATAAACATCCTGGTGTTCTTTTCTCCCTCCCCCTTCCAGCCTTTTTTATCCTTATCCATATGGGTAGACCCACTGGACATGAAGGTTCTACCCAAACCACCCCAGGACCATCCTAACCAATCTTTATCCCAACATCCAGTGTAATCTGCCATTGCTGCTATGGTTCCAGTCACACGCTCCAATTCTGACACAGAGTTCTGTCCGATTGGTGAGATCCGGCCCCTACTTCTGGTATCTCAATTCCCTTATGGCTCCTTTAATTAGCTCTCTCATCTTGATACACGGAAAAATCACAGTCCCTCTGAGAAAGGGTTTAATGTATTCTTAATAGTCCCTCCCATTCCAGATGCTGCTATCTACAAACAGCCCTGATTCAAACAGCAGGCTGCTAGTGGGAAGCAGCCGCATAGCACAGGGAGATCAGCTCAGTGCTTTGTGTCCACCTAGAGGGGTGGTTTAGGGAGGGTGGGAGGGAGACACAAGAGGGAGGAGATATGGGGATATGTGTATATGTATAGCTGATACATTTTGTTACACAGCAGAAACTAACACACCATTGTAAAGCAATTAAACTCCAATAAAGATGTTTAAAAAAAAAGACAAACAGCAGGCTGTCTGTCTAGATCTCTGAATAGTCCCTCTCCTGTATTACCTAGCACTGTGATATCCAACTCAGAAAAACTCTCTAACTTTGAGTTATTTCTCCTTATTATCAACCGCTTCCCCAAGATACCCTCACTTCCTTAGTTCCACGCCCTTCTGATGTATATCAGTGAGGCAAGGATTTCCTCCCAGAATCTGCAGTTGGGTCCACCTTGTACCTATCTTGACCCAGTGTACCTTGTCTACTTACCATTAACCAGAACATGCTGGCCCTGTCTGAAGATAAGACGGTCATCCAGCCAACCTACTGGGAAGAATGTGTTTCTCATAAGGAAGTAGGAAGCTGATCTTTGAGATCAAAGCAGTTTATACATGCATGACTCTATACCCCTCCTTACCCACACTGGTCTGCCTGTAAAAAGGCAAACATATGTCTATTTCCCTACTTTTGAGTCACTAACTGGGTTTGAAAGGATATTGCACTGATCGAAATAATTAGTTCCACTGGCTGAAATTTTAGGAAAATATAAGATTTTGCATTTGGGGTTACAATAATGACTAATAACACTTACTGTATGCTTGGCACTGTATTAAGTGCTTCATATAAACTAACTCACTTAATCCTCACAACTACTCAATGAAGAAGGCACTGTTTTATCCTCACTTCACAAATGAGAAAATTAAAGCACACAGAGGTTAAATAACTTGCCAAAGGTCACATAGCTAGTAGAATTGGGTGTTGAACCCAAGCAGTCCTCAAGGACCATTAAGCTATACTGCCCCTAGGAAACTAAGACAGGTTAGGTAAGGGCTTTAATTTAGATCCTCCTTCAAAATGGACTCTGTAATACTTAAAGTCCAAAATGATTTCTCTCTGTGAATCAAGCAACTCTTAGCGCATTTGGCTTCATCTTCATAATTCATTTGCTAATGTAAACAGGAAAGTAGCCAATTACTACTAAAGTGTGTTTTGTATTTATTAAACAATACTATAAAATTCTGATGAAAACCCCTACTGTAATTCAGACTTGAGGTTTTTTGTTGGCGTTCAGAAACTGGTCCAGCTGTTTCTCCAGCTGCCTGGTAATTCCACAGAAAGAAAATCAGTGCATCAGTTCAAATTCTAAATTTTGAAAAGGACAGTGCATTTCCTTTTGTCTTCATAAGACACCTACATTTAAATTACTATGCAAAAGCAACCAGGCACTGTGTGAGCAAATTTGCATAACTGGTGTCAGGGGTCTAAAGCAGAAGCAAAAGGGGGCTAGAAATTAATGGAACTGATAGAGCTGATTATTCTATCCATCTTAGCATCTTTTCAAACCCTTTATAATGGAGACATTAAATTGCTATGCATATCTCCTTTAAATCTAGCTATATTATTAAGAACTTAACTAGGTTAAAGAAGGAAAAATGCAACCATAAGGTTTTGCATGTTTGGATCTTTGCCTTTTTGTTTAGAACATGTATGGTAAAACATGTGCCCATTGTTCCAAAGATTTCATGGCATTCAGCATTTCTTTCTGACCCATTTGCTCACAAAGCCTGCCACATCCGTTATACTAAACAGCCACTTCATCCACCAGAAGACTAATGTGGATAATTCAAGCAAAATTTTAAGAAGCTGAACGTCTGCAGTAAATGTGGCCTATGTCTTTCATAGATTTTAGCTGTTCTTTGTGAAGAAGAACACTGTCGTAATCAGGAATAATTGCAAGGAACAGAAACCCACTCAAACTAACTCAAGCACAGGGGGTGATGCTTATTAAAAGGATACAGGAGTATCTAGTGGAACCAAAGCCAGTGGGACAGCCAGGTCTTTACATGGAACTTCACATGCCAAGGGACTTGACATGGAACTTGAAAGTCAGGAACTAAAGGTATCCTTTTCATCTCTTCTAAGCTCAGTAATATCTTTTTTCTTTGAAGATTGGCTTTCTCTGCTTCAGCATCCCTTGGTAGAAAACGGCAGTCTAGCCCCAGCTCTTTATCACCTACTAGCTCCATTGCCCAAGAAAAACTAACTAGAGATTGCATCCCAATTCCAAATATCCAGGAGAGAGAATGTAATTAGCCCAACTTCAGGTCACATGTCTACTCCTTGTCCAATCAGCTATGGCTAGGGGAGCAGCATCATATGACACTGAGCGGCTCTCCCCCCTTTAGTAAGTGGAGCCCCTAGGCATTTTGAAAGGGACTCATTACAACACATTGTTGCCATTCTTCAGAATTAGTTTAGAACTAGATTAGAATTCGAATTAATTAGAATTAGATTAGAATTAGAACTACAGATCAGTTAGCATTTAAACCTCTTGGATCCACATTTTATCCATCTCTGCATCTCAAATCCATCCTTGTCTCTACAGGTAACCTTAAACACTTGATTTTCTCTTTTCTGCCTGTGCCAAAATCATCAACAAAGTGTTGACAAGCTAGTTGTGAGCATTTGTCAACTTGTACAACTGATGCTGACTCTCTCCTTCTCATGAAGAATTTCCTAGAAATTTTATTTTCCAGCTTCAAGAAATTTCACAAGAAATGCCTGCAAATATCTCCACCCTTGCTCTTAAACTAGGTACTCAGTGACCAAAAATAACATCAAGAAAGACAACCTACACCTTTTAGTTAGAACCTCCAAATAAATGAGAACAATGTAAACGCCATCTCCTGTGAAGATGTGTAAAAGGAAAATATAAAGTCATATACTTGCTAATCAACACATTATAATTTTGACTTCCTGGCTGGAAATGGAGTCACTTCATTAAAATACAGCCATATCAAAAAAAAAGAAAAAGAAAAGAAAAAAAATACAGCCATATCATTGTCAATTCCAACTGATATTTCAGAAAAGAATAAGTGATGATACATCTAATGACCAAATTCAGCCATGATAATCCTTCGTCACTGTCATTTAGCCACCGAGACCCCTTTCTAAGAAGGAGAAAGTGTTTTATCTTCTTAATTTTTGAAAAAGTTAATTTAAGTTTTAATTTTCACAATCTATGCAAAAGTGTCCCCCTGGCATCTAGAGTTTCCCTAGTTATAGAGGATAAAGAAGGTTCCATGCTGAATAGCTTTTAACTCAGTAAGAATTTTAAATTTTAGGAGCTGAAGACAGAGATGATTTCCAAACTGCATCTGTGCAGAAAATGCTGACTATGGGTACTAGCCCAGGAATAACTACAGTCATATTTTTTCCCTTCTTATGTTTTCCAAATGAGTCATAAAGGACCCTCTGCATTCAAATAGTGCGTCATGAAATGGGAAAGATAAAATACAGAAATTGGACATTGCTGTCTCTTCTTGATGAATCCAGCTTTTTGTTACCTGGTGTGAGGCCAGAATAGCCCTTCTAAAATAGAAGTGAGTTGTACTCCATGCCAGCCATTTCCAGTGCACTGTGCTATTTCTCTGCTATTTGTGTGGCACCTCTCCCAGGGAAAGCAATGCTGCTTTGTCTTTGAGAATGTCTGGTCCAGTGGTTCTTTACCCTCTTTGCAAATTAGAATTACCTGGGAGCTTTAAAAAACATACCAATGTGTGGATTCTACCAATTAAATTAGAATCTCTGAGAACCACACGTGGGTATCAGTGCTTTTAAAAAGCTCTCCAGGGACTTCCCTGGTGGAGCAGTGGTTAAGAAACCACCTGCCAATGTAGGGGACATGGGTTCGATCCCTGGTCCAGGAAGATCCCACATGCCACGGAGCACCTAAGCCCGTGCGCCACAACTACTGAGCCTGTGCTCTAGAGCCCACAAGCCACAGTTCCTGAAGCCCACATGCTCTAGGACCCACGTGCCGCAACTACTGAGCCGGCATGTTGCAACTACTGAAGCCCATGTGCCTAGAGCCCGTGCTCTGCAGCAAGAGAAGCCACTGCAATAAGAAGCCTGCACACCGCAATGAAGAGTAGTCCCTACTCGCTGCAACTAGAGAAAGCCCATGCGCAGCAGTGAAGACCCAGAGCAGCCAAAAATAATAATAACAATAAAATAAAATAAGTAAAAAGCTCTCCAGGAGCTTCAAACGTGTCACCAGAGTTGAGAACCTCTGGATTAGACTTTATAAAGACAGGCTGGGGCTTCCCTGGTGGCGCAGTGGTTGAGAATCCGCCTGACGATGCAGGGGACACGGGTTCGTGCCCCGGTCTGGGGAGATCCCACATGCCGTGGAGCGGCTGGGCCCGTGAGCTGTGGCTGCTGAGCCTGTGCGTCCGGAGCCTGCGCTCGGCAGCGGGAGCGGCCACAACAGTGGGAGGCCCGCAAACCGCAAAAAAAAAAGACAGGCTGACCATTACTTTTTGCCTTAAAGACCAATGTTTCTCAACCATTATTTCATTATTGCCTCCTAATGAGCCTTTTTAGACATTTTTTTCCCTAGGTCTCCCCCACCCCCAGCCCCATGAAAATTTAATACCACAGATATATTGTATATTTGTTACTGCATGTATATCTGTGCTTTATACACAAGAAGAGTAAGGCTCTTTTGCCCTCTAAGAACCAATTTTTGCCCCCTTGGGGCAGTAGTATTCCCACTGAGAATGTATGTAGTAGACTGAACAAATCAATGAAGTTGGATGGGTCAGTTGCGCTGCAGTGACAAACAACCCAAGATCTCAGTGGCTTAAAACAAAAATAGTATACATCTTGCTTGCAACAACATGTGCATTAGAAACAACCTAAGTGCCCGTCGTCGGATGAATGGATAAAGAAGATGTGGCACATATATACAATGGAATATTACTCAGCCATAAAAAGAAACGAAATTGAGCTATTTGTAATGAGGTGGATAGATCTAGAGTCTGTCATACGGAGTGAAGTAAGTCAGAAAGAGAAGGACAAATACCGTATGCTAACACATATATATGGAATTTAAGAAAAAAAAATGTTATGAAGAACCTAGGGGTAAAACAGGAATAAAGACAGAGACCTACTGGAGAACAGACTTGAGGATATGGGGAGGGGGAAGGGTGAGGTGTGTTAGGGCGAGAGAGAGACATGGACATATATATACTAACAAACGTAAGGTAGATAGCCAGTGGGAAGCAGCCGCATGGCACAGGGAAACCGGCTCGGTTCTTTGTGGCTGTCTGGAGGGGTGGGATAGGGAGGGTGGGAGGGAGGGAGACAAAGAGGGAAGAGATATGGGAACATATATATATGTATAACTGACTCACTCTGTTATAAAGCAGAAACTAACACACCATTGTAAAGCAATTATACCCCAATAAAGATGT